AGTTTTCTTTGGACAATCACTAGAAAATTTCTACTTTCGCACCTATAGTAATTTATATATAGAACTGCATCACGTTTTACTATGAACATTCTTCAGTTGACTAGAGAATCATCAATTAAGTAATAAACATAAAAGTACTTGCCTTAATATAAACTGAAATCGGTCATAGCAAAGTGATTACGTGCTCGCTGTTTGGACTAGATTGTTTGTGACGAAAGTCACAGATTAATCTGTGATACGAAAACCTGGGCAGATTACCAGCCTCTTGCAACGAATTAGTATTGACAGCCCACAAGATGAACCTGATGTCGTTTTACATGAACGTGGAGGAAGAGATAGGTATGAGTATTAAAAATGTGGACGAAAGTGATGGGTTGACAGAACAAAAGATGGAAATAGGTGGAGACATAAGTGTGATGATTAGTAAAAGTGTTAGTAATGATGAAAACAAAGCATCCAACGAGGATCCAAAACCCGCTGCACAAAATTGTGATATAAGTTTAATCGAAATATTTTGGGAAAATATCGGGAGTAGTGATTCTAATCAAGCTGAATTAGAGAAGGAAAATGCTGAAGAAAACGATATTGAAAGTAATGAAGTGATTGGTGAAGTAGATGATCGAGGGTTGGATGACTTGGAAGCTGAAGTCGACTGGTTGTTGTCAGATATGAGGAACGGTGATAGTGAATCTGCAGATGTCTGGTATGGTAATGGGATATATGATGTTGGTTATTGTGATCAGGAAGAATTGACTGACGATTAAGTTGGAGTCGATAAAGAGATTAGTTTGATTGATTTTGATGAATCTGATCAGATGGATGAAAGGGAACCTGAAAGCATGTTTGATGTGTTTATTAAAAACAATTTAATTGACTTTGGGTGTGTTGCAGAGAAGTCAGTGATGAATGATAATGTGGAGGAAATGATTGATGAAAATAGAGGAATAAATGTGGTGGTTAATACAAATAGTAGTAAAATGTATCAAACGAACAATGAGAAATTCGAATCCCTACCTGAGCCAAGTAGTGAAGTGACCTTGTACGTTAAATTCACTGAAGCAAAGTTTAAAACGGATGTAGTTCTAGGAAGGGAGGAGATAGTGGAAGATCTGTTGAAAGTGTTGAGGGATAATGACTCCGATGAATTTGATTGTGGTGTGGATTTGTCCAAATGGCATTGGCATACGAACTTTAGGATCTTGATAATGGAATTATTGGATGGTACCAGGAGCCCGCTACAAATAGCGATTCGAATGTACAACTTGACATTGGAAATGATGATCGAATAATGGGAAGTGTATTCGATCGAGTAAAAAGATCATTGGTGAAAAGTAACTGTAATAGTAGGTTTGGTGATGTTGATAATGTCTTTGGGAAAAGTATGCAAAAGGTATTGAAAACTTCTGGTAATTTACAGTATGCGGTAAACTGGTATGGGAATGAAGATAAAATAAGCGAATGATCATTATCTTGTGCATGTGATGCATGTGACAAGTAAGTGATCGATCAGAATTAAAAGATCAAGTAGCGATCAATTATGCAATCGAAGTAGTATACATGAAATATAAGGTAATTTATTGATAATATAAGAGTCAAACGATCGTATAATCGTATATGACCAAATTATAATGTAAGTAATGTGACCCAAAAGTATGTATATAGGAGCAAAGTGAATGTAATAGTTAGGGAGTTTTTTCGAATTAGTATTGGTCCCGCTCTTAATTAATAAAGTTCACTTAAGTAATAAACATAAAAGTATTTGCCTTAATATAAACTGAAATCGGTCATAGCAAAGCGATTACGTGCTCATCGTTTGGACTAGGTTGTTTGTGATGAAAGTCACAGATTAACCTGTAACACTAGTCTGAGAACAAGTACTTGCGAGCTGAAGCCGCTACCGTTACCTACTTCTGCCCTTATAGGGTTTATTCTACTCCAGCCCCTTACTCGTCTAATCAGCAACCCTTTCACTATTTTACTAAACTTCCAATTCAGATAGCCCGGTTTGGTTCACAAGTTACATTACCTGCTTTCCTACTGGCTTAACCCAGATACCGGCCTGTGCCCTTTTCTTCTGGTTGATTCTGATAGCCTAATTGGTATAATACTCACCAAACATCCGGTCCTCATCTAGATCCACAACTTATTGGTTCTCTTTTCAGACTTTCCAGAACTGTCGAAAGTAGTGCTACCTCTCTACTCGGAACTTGCCAAGCGGATTCCTATTCAGGACAAAGTCCAACAGATTTACACAGATCCCAGAGGCTTATCATAGGTTTATACCACCTTTTATCGGTTTGTATCTCTTCATATAACTCCTCTATTACACGAATATCCCAAGATCTTCCAAGTCTGTACTCTACCCCCGATTAGGGCTTGCGAGATAAGCCATCTATTAGGCGATCATTACCTCTTGCACCTATTTGGTCTGACTATCATTACAGGATCTTCATTCCAACAACCAAAATAGTCATCAATGCACAGAAGAATTTGATTTTTTGTCATTGGTGAGAATTGAACTCTGGATGTACCACTTGGGGGGGGTGACAACTTGACCACTTCACTAAGTCGCCATGTCTCTAATTTTTTTTATATAATGCTAGTTGAACTTTAAAATCCTTATATTTAGGGTCATTATCTATTTGCTTATAGACAGTTAAATTATTTTTGATATGAAATATACAATTTTTCTAATAATCTCTACTATTTATTTCATTTCCTAGTTTTAATAAATGCTTGTGTATATATTTTGGTAGATAATATCTTGCAAACCGTAACCATGCTTCTGATGCTTTAATATTGTTAACAATATAATTTACACTATATTCACTTAACTTATCTTTTACTCTGCTTATACATGTTGACAAAGTTATTTTAGGTTTTGGTATACGAAATTAAAATTTAAAGACAAAATTGTTTTTGACCTACTTTACTTAAAAGATGAAATTTTTTGACATTTTTTTTGAAGAGATGAAATTATAAGGAACATAACTACCTAAATTAGATTTGCTATTGCATATAAAAAATTCTAAATTGCTCTAATAGAGACGAAATAGGGGTTTTTTGAAAACCTATTTTGGTGGCATGTATAACTCTGCTATAACACATATTGTATATTTGCTATTTCAGATATGTGAATTTTATTAAGTATTTATCTTTAATATATAACGGAAAAAAATAATCAGCACTATCTATGTTGTACCAACTTTTATGCTAATTCACACATAATATTGCTCCCTGAGGCTTATAAGAGATCGCTCAATCTTCACTAGCAATCATGGATAAAAAATTTAGCTTAAAGGTAAGTATGGTTCTAATATGTCTGATTATTGCAGATAGATTTATTGCAAAGCAGTTCTAAAGGGGCAAAGCTGGGTTATAGTGAATTAATAGATAAGTTATAAACTAATCTAGATACTCCCATATAAGTCATAGATATCCTTAATTTCAGAAGTATTCTTATTAATTGGCTTGGGTGTAGAAGCTAAAGTTTCAGGTTCAGGCTCTGGATTCGAGTCAAAGTCAAAATCCAAAGTATCACCCTTAGTATAATATTTTTCAGAATCAAAACAGTCAATCTTATACCTCATTGCAACTCTGCTAAGAAATTTAAGATATTTATAAGTTGGATTTTGCCTACCATGAACTTTAGAAGCATGTTTATCTCTGATTTTTCTTAATCTTTTAGCTGTAATACTATATGGTTTTAAGAATTTACTAAATACTCCTATACTGCATTTTCTATTAATACTATAGACAGGATTGTATAACTTTCTGGTTGCTATTACATCTTGAATCCAGGTAAGCAATTTTTTTGCACATTCTGGATTCTTTTCTATAAATAGAAATTGCCGAGATTCAGGAATATTTTTTGCTTCTCCTTTGTTTTTAATATACCTAATACAATATCAAGAATAACCAGGCTTATACCATTCAGGAGAATTCGATTCACTGAGTTTATAATGAATAATACGAAGAGTGGCAACTTCAGTAGGTTTCATGCTCAACATTATAATTACATCTGCAAGATCTTGCATAATAGGGATTTTAGTAGTATTAATATTTTGAATTCTTCTAAGTCTTTCCTCTAAAGAAAAGTGGTTGAGAGTTTTAGGTAGGTTGGGTAATTGCTGTTTGAATTGTCTCTTTTGAATTTCGTTAGAAGCTCGAGTAACTTCTGGCAATTTGGTATATATATCAATTTGCTAGAACCAATCCCAGCTTCTGCTAACTCTCTATGAAATTGCAAAATACAAGAACTAGCTGCCACAATTGCTTCATCTGTATTATTTTTTAGCACAGCTAAGTCTAAAGCATATAACCAAATATTTCACACATCTTCAGTTTTTGTATAATATTGAGCTTTTTTCTTAATAGTAAGTTTTTTTCTCTTTTTGTCTGGTACAAGAGCTTCTATTTGATTGTCTTTGAATAGGTGCTGGTGAAGAGCTTCTTTTATATCTTTACGAGCCTTCTAATCTGATAGCATAATACCAAGCTCATCAGCATGAGCACGTAATTGAAGTGGGTTTGATTTAACTGATAGATTATATTTATTCAGAAACAGATCTAAAATAGAGGTTAAGTTATTAGTTTTAGATTTTCTAGTTTTTCAGACAGTTGTCATGATAAGTATATAAATAATATATATCGATAAATAATACATTAACCTACTTATTGTTTCAAATCGAAATTAATTATCTTAGGCCTAAAAAAATAATCGATATATACCAGGGACATAATTATACTTCGTGCATAGAATTGGGTAAGTCAGATACATGACTCTCAAACATAGCAATTTTTGTATGCAATTCATCCTGCTTTTTTTGATAGTAATTCTCTCTATTTTATATTTGTCTACATGTTTATTGCATGTGTTGTATTTAGATCTATTTGGCTTACTACAATCTCTACAAAGAGTAGGTATTGAAGAATTATGATGAATATAACATCTTTCTGATTTACTACCTTGACCACAGATTTTTCTAGTTTTATGAATATATGAGTAATGGTATAATGCCATTGTGATTCGGAATAATTAATTTTATTTTAAAGATTTATCTATCAATTATTATAATTTCAAAAACATATACTTTTTGTCAGATCAAACAATATGTATATACAAATCAATAAAATGAGTTTGTCTAGTGAAGCAAAAAATGTCTTTGTGAATTGTTATAACAACAGTTCTTAAATCAAAAGTCAGTAGAATATAATGAAGCAAAAAGACTTTTTATGAGGTTAACTGATCTTCTTTATGAACCCGACCATAGAGAACATACATTTTATAAATACTGGCTTGCATCCAATGGTCATACTAATAAAAATAATACTGTGCTTTTAGATGCATATCAACCTGAAGAGATTTATTTTCAATATATAATTCGGAGGCAGGAAAAGGTTATACAATGATCGATCATCCTTCTGAAGTTTATAGAATGCCAAATACACATGAATGTATTGATGAAAATCGACCTCTTCGCTTAATAATTGATATTGATGCAAAGCAAAAACCTGATTCTATAAATTCTAAGTTCTCTACTTTAGATAATGAAAAAATTACTTGTGATGATTTAATGTCTTGAATTTTGGTTGCTTGTGCAGATGCATTAAGCCTAATATCAGATTGTATGTCTTTATTAAATTTTTTTGCTTTAGCAAGCTCGTCAAATGCTGAGAAATGTAGCTGGCATATCATTTATCCTCAGGCTCAATTCGTAAATTATAAAGAACTTAAGGGTTTTACAGAAAAAGTTATAGAATTAGTTGAAGAACTTTATTCCAAATTCATTGATGTTGGCCTTCCCAAATTGCATTTTAGTCTTAGGCTCCTTGGATCAGCAAAAGAAGAATGCATAAAAAGACCTGCTATTTCTTCTGTCAAAAATGGATTTCAAAGGTTAGATGATTATCTGGTTCAGCCTAGAGAGAATTATTCCATAATTTGGCCATGAACCTTTTCTTCAGAAGAGCTAGTAAAACAAGAGTTCCAGCCTATTAATAATGAAAATGCTTTAAGTAGAGGAGCCAATTTAGTTATTGCAAAATATGAGTAGATTGGAAGAATCAAGAAGTGATTCATCAACTTTCAAGCACAATCTGTCAAAGAATGCCCATATATGACATTAAACATGAAAAAGACTAACTTTATGGATTTATTCGAAAAAATGAGCATTTTATACTTAAGTGTTATTATCAAAAACAATACAAGCCAGATCACAAAGGCCTTAGTTTCGATAAGGTATCAGACAAAGTTGAGTCAAAAGAAAAGCCTAAGTGGGAATTAAGTAAAAGAATCACCAATGCTATATTAAATCCACATTTACTTTCTGAATTATATAGAGAAGTTATTAATGTTGAAAAGTTAAAAGATACTTCT